CCTCCTCCTCCTCCTCCTCCTCCTCCTCCTCCTCCTCCTCCTCCTCCTCCTCCTCCACCCCATCTCAGACATCCCGCGCCTCGGTCCTTCTGCGATCCGGGCCTTCCAACCTCTCGGCCACTTCCCTCCGGACCGGCCCCGCGTGCCGAGCTGTGTTCGGGCAGCCCCGAGGCCCGGCAGGGGCCCCGAGAGGCCACAGACGATGAAAAGCCTCCGTCGCGATCTCTTCCAGACTAGACGAGCGTGTTCCACTACTGGCAAAGCACCTACTCGCATCATGGCCTGGAGCCGCCGCGGGGGATCTACGATAAATCCCATCAAAGCAGGCATGTGTTTTTGAGCGTTTGCGAGTAGGCACTTTGCGAGCAGTGGAACGCGGTCGGTGAGAAACGCCAGACGTCTGGGCCGATCTAAGGATACAGACAATGGCATAAACATAAGAAACTCCGAAGTCCGTGCGGGTTTCTCGGATCCGCGCTGGACCCCCTCCCTGGCGCGCGGAGCGCGCCAGGGGCGGCGCCGGAGGCGCCGACAGGGGGGGGGGGCCCAGCGCGGATCGGAGAAATCCGCGCGCGGAGCTCCGAGTTTTCATGCTTATGCCACCGTTCGCTCCCCTGCGATCGCCAACCCCTACTACAACACGCCTGGCCGGGGTCTGTCCCCTCCGTGCCGGGCAGAGGCTCGCGGGGCGGCGCGTGCGCGCGGACGGCAGCGCCAGGCGCGCTTTCTGCCGCGGCCGCCGCCGGCTCGCAGTGAATTCGCCAGGCGGGATCCCCTGCAGGGTCGGGGCCGCAGCGCAGCCTCCCCGGCGTGCGGCGTCGCCCGTCCACTCCCTCCGCCTGCTTCTCACCCTTTTCCTCCTCCTCCTCCTCGTCCTCCTCCTCCTTTTCCTCCTCCTCCTCCTCCTTTTCCTCCTCACTTTCCTCCTCCCTTCTCCCTCTTCCCCCCTCCCTTCTCCTCCTCCTCCTCCTCTCCTCTTCCTGCTTCCTACTCCTCCTCCTCTCATTCCTCCTGCTCCTCCTCCTTCCCTCCTGCTCCTGCTCCTCCTCCTCCTCCTCCTCCTCCTCCTCCTCCTCCTCCTCCTCCTCCTCCGCTCCGTAGCCATTTTGGCGCAGGCCGTGTCTTCCCGCTCTCCGCCGTTGCTATTTCCGGACGATGGCGCCCCGGGCGGACGACGTGGCGACGGGGGGCGGCCAGAGCACTTGGCTGCCCAGCTTGCTGCGCTCCTCCGAGGCCACCGCCCTCGGCGCCTCCGCCGCCCGCCGCAGGAGGCGGCGGGCATGCGAGGCGGGACCTCGCGACGCCGTCGCTGGTGGCCTGGGCAGCTGGCGGGACCGCGAGCGGGCGCACCAGGCCCGCCCTCCAGCGGCTCGCCTCGGGCGAGCGCGCCCCTGGGGCGCGGCGGCGGAGGCGCGACGCTTCTTGGGGCACTCCGAGGGGGTGCCCCTGGGCGGCTTCGCCGGGGCGTCCGCCCAGGACATCGCGCGGGCAGCCGCTGGGCCGCGGCCGGGCACGGCCCGCGCGGAGCGGGGCGTGCAGCAGGCGGCGCGGGGCCTGCCGCTCGCCGACGAGGCGCCGCGCGCACCGCCTGCCGCACGGTTGGCGCCAGGCGTGTGGCACGCGAGTGACCCGTCGGCGGAGGCCCAGGCCTGCGGCGACGGCTCGGCGGCGGCCTGGAGGCTCGCCAATCGCCAGGTGGAGAGGGTGCAGCAGGTGACGGTGCCGTGCGATCAGATGCCGGACTGCATCGGCAGGCGCACCACCGAGAGCGAGATGGCACCCTCCTTGCAGGAAGGTTCTCTTGCAGAGGTGGCCCGGACAGCCATGGCCCACGCGCAGCTGGTGGAGTCTGCTGCGGCGGCGGGCCAAGCGAGGCCTCTCGTACGGCGTCGGGGCCGCTTGACCCGCGCTTCTCAGGCCGTCCGTGGAGGCCGTGCCGCTGGGCCTGGAGTTCGCGCAGGACTCCGAAGACACGGACGCGCCCTTCGAGCGGGAGGGCCACGGCAGCTGTAGCAAGGAGCTCGTCGACCTTGACAGCAGGGGCGTGGCCGACATGAGCCCTGCGCAGCGGCAGTTGGCGCAGCTCGCGGCCGACAATCACAGGACTTGCTCCGAGGTTGTCGCAGCCATCCGATCCAGCTGCTGCCCAGTATGCCCGTCCGCGCGAACTCGCCAGTTCGCGAGACGCCCCCGTGGGCTCATGCTGCAGTCTTCCACGTGCGAGCTGCGCTGGCAAGACATCGGGCGCCACTCGCTGACGGCATGGTGCGCGGACTGCACGTCGGCGGCGCACTCATCCTGCCTCGTCGAGGTCATCACGGACGGGAACTCCGAAGGAGGCGGCGCGCAGCAGGAACGCGAGAGCTGAGCCCATGATCGCGGCCTCCGTGTGGGCCTTCACCCCTGGAGGCGGGCTGCGCGAGGCCAGGTCCTCGACATGGAGGCCGACGCGCCGAGGAGGACCATCAAGGGCATCGTGCAGGTGGCAACCTCGAAGCTGTCCGACAAGGCGGCGTGGGCGGAGCCTGGCGTGAAACCCAGATTCCGCCTACGCCAAGGGAGGGTCGCTCCGCGTCGAGCCCTGAGCTCGGGGCGGTGGCGGCCGACGGCGGGACACTGCGCCCCCTTGTCCCTAGTCCCTAGTCACCAACTAGTCCTAATTCGTCCTCGTTAGTCCCTTTCCCTAGTCCCTAGTCCCTAGTCCCTAGTCCCTAGTCCTCCTCCTCCTCCTGCTCCTCCTCCTGCTCCTCCTCCTCCTCCTGCTGCTCCTCCTCCTCCTCCTCCTCCTCCTCCTCCTCCTCCTCCTCCCCCTCCCCCTCCCCCTCCCCCTCCTCCTCCTGCCCCTCCCCTTCCTCCTGCTCCTCCTGCGTCCTCCTGCTTCCTCCACCCTCCTCCTCCCCCTGCTCCTCCTTCCCCTTTCCCCCCCGTTCCCCGCGCCCCCAAGATTCCCGTATGATGCCTTCCAGCGCGGCAACAGAAAGACGCCAAGACGCTTCGGAGACGGTCGTGCGCTTGTTCCCACGGCGCCTCCCGCCCGCGGTGCTTCTGGCCTCGCTGCAGGCAGCCCGAGTGGCAGCGTGGCGCCTTGAGAGGAGCCCGAGCCTCGCGGGACACGCACGCTCCACCAAGGGCGGAACTGCCAAGCTGCACGAGGACAAGGGGGAGGAGGAGCAGGAGGATGAGACGCATGCGGAGGATGCGGAGGAGGAGGAGGAAGAGGAGGAGGAGGAGGAAGAGGAGGAAGAGAAGGAGGAGGAGGAGGAGGAGGAGGACGAGGAGGAGGAGAAGGAGGCGGAGGAGGAGAAGGAAGAGGAGGAGCAGGAGGGGCGGAGGAGGGGAGGAGGAGGAGTGAGGAGGAGAGGGGAGGAGGAGGCGAGGAGGAGGTAGGGTGCAGGAGGGAGGAGGAGGTAGGAGAAGGATGAGGACGTGGAGGAGGGGGAGAAAGAGAAGGGTGATGAGGAGGAGGAGGAGGAGGAGGAGGAGGGAGGAGGGGAGTGAGGAGGGAGGATAAGAAACAGGGGGGGAGGAGGAGGAGGAGGAGGAGGAGGAGGAGGAGGAGGAGGATGGAGGCGAAGGAGGAGGACGAGGAGGAGGCGGAGGAGGAGAAGGAGGAGGAGGAGGAAGAGGAGGAGGACTATGAGCGAGGAGATGGTGGATTATAAGTTTTTCTGAGTTTGAGAAAGGGAGGACGATGATGGAGGAGTTAGCAGTAGGAGGAGGATGAAGAGCGGAGGATGAGGTTGATGATTTTTAGGAAATTTCGATTATATGAATGATTCTGATTATTATTATGAGGAGGTATCGATGATGATGCGTACAATGTGATCTTCTCCCCCCCCCCCCCCCCCCCCCCCCCCCCCCCCCCCCCCCCCCCCCGACCCCCCCGTCTACCGAGGGAGGGACCCCACTGAGGAGGAGGAAGGAGGAGGAGGAAGAAGGAGGAGATGGGTGGGTGCAATGCGCGGGAGCGACTTGCACATCGGAGCGGTGCAGAGAGGCCTCGTGCACTGCCCGTGAGGCCCACAAGAGGCCCCAAGAGAGGATCCGATGCAGGCAACCAAGCACAGATGAACACAGTGTGTTAGTATGTTGGTGCGTGTCCCAATTTGGCGGCCCAGAAGTATCTAGTATGTGGAGTGCTCCTGGATGCCCCGCTTATGAAGAGTGTCTGAGTGATTGTCCACGGCGGCCCCGAACTTAGAAAGGCCCCTCTCTATCGCTCTCTCTCTCTCTCTCTCCCCTCTCTCTCTATCCCTCTTTCTCTTGTTCTCTCTCTCTCTCTCTCCCTCAACATGTCTCTCTCTCTCTCTCCCTCTTTGTCGCTCTCTCTCTCTCTCGTTCTCTCGCTCTCTCTCTCTCTCTCGCTCTTCTTTTTACTCGGTCAATCTCACCACACACTTCTCTCTTGCATATATCATCTCTCTATTTCTGTGGTTGTCGCTCTTTCTCCTCTCTCTCTCACCCTCTCTCTCGCTGACCTCGATATAGTTGCAGTATAGGCATTGTCATGGTTGTTACCGACATGTCTAATTGCTGTGTCCCTAAATGACTCAGATTGGTTGGCTCCTCTGTTCTCTTTTTTCTCTCTTTTTTGCTTCTCTCTCTCACTTCTCTCGCTCCTCTCTATCTTCTCCTCACTGATGGGCTCACCGAGCGAACTGCCCTGGCGACACTGATGCCTTATGAGCAAGTGGAGAGACCTCCCACCACACCACACACACACACACACACCAACACACACACTCTCACACACGCGCACGCACGCACGCACGCTCGCACGCACGCACGCACGCACGCACGCACGCACGCACGCACGCACGCACGCACGCCGCACGCACGCACGCACGCACGCACGCACGCACGCACACACACACACACACACACACACACACACACACACACACACACACACACACACACACACACACACACACACACACACACACACACACACACACACACACACACACACACACGCGGCATTGTGGGCTTCTGGCAGAGGACGCGCAGCTCCTCGACCTTCATGCCAAACTGGCCCAAACCGAACTCCCGCAGCCCATCCCTACACCGCCACAAAAAGGCAAGAATATCACCTCTTCGAAGATTACACGGACCCCCTCACGGGGGCTAGGTCGGCCTACGCGGCTACGGATGGGGCCTGCTCGCACCAGGCACACTGAGTCCTCACCAGGGCAGGTTTCGGAGTGTACTACGGGCCAGACCATCGGTCGAATCATTCCGCCCGAGTGCATGGCCTGGCGCTGTCAGCGCAACGTGCCGAAACCTTTGCGCTGCTTCACCTTGCCGCCACGGCAGAGAGACCCGTTCACATCTTCGTGGACAACAGCGCTGTTGTTGGCGGATTCGAAGCCTTCCCGAACGAAACCCACCGCAGACCAAAAGCTCGCAAGCTGACCTCTGGCAAATAATGCACCGGGTGGTCCGGGCCAAACCTGGCATTTTCAATGTCCCAAAAAAATAAAGCCACCTCGGTGGGCAAGGGACCATCGAAGGTCGCATCTCGCCCATTGCCGAGGCGCTCAACGGCCACGCTGACGAACAAGCAGCAGCTGGCCCGTTTGCACGCCCTGCCTCTGGATGTCATTGACGCGGCCAAGTGGCGCCATACATTCGCGGCTGTCCTCCACAGCACCGCGGTAGCTATGCACGAGTGTCGCCACACACTGCCGCTTCCCGGCAGACGACCTAACTACTCCAGGTCGGAAATCCACCGAATGAAACCCAACCCTCCCACCAGAGGGGGCGGGGGGGATGAGCCGACCCGGGGACCCACCTCACTCGCAAGGCCCACCAAGGCCACGAATACGACCCAACCACCCGTGGGGTACCCCTCCCGACAGCTTTGAAAGAGAAGAACCACATCGCTCGGTCCCGGCGAGGCCCTCGACACTGACGGCGACGGCACTGCTACGCCAACGCACCGTCACGGCCAGGGCCACACGCCAGAGCCGACATACAGCTCCACCCCACCAGCGATGGTCACGGCGCGGACGACGAAAGCGCACCCCTTCGTCCAAGGAGGCACAGGGCGGCGGCGCTTCAGGAGGTGAAGGCCCACCAGGACCTCATCTCAGGCGCTAACGGCCTGGGAGAGCGAAAATGCACCCCTTCGTCCAAGGAGGCACAAGGCGGCGGCGCTTCAGGAGGCGAAGGCCCACCAGGACCTCGTCTCAGGCGCTGACGGCCCGGGAGAGGACCTGCGCATGGCGCATGGCAGGCGGTGGGTCGCGGACTGTTTCGAGGTAGGCTTGGTGGGCGCTTGCACCCCGCAAGCCTGGACACACTGTCCCAACGGATGCGCTCGCTCTCCCTCTTCCCTCTCTCTCTCTCTCTCTCCCTCTGTCTGTCTCTCTGTCTGTCTGTATGTCTGTCTCTGTGTATCTGCCTGTGTCTGTCTGTCTGTCTGTCTGTCTGTCTGTCTGTCTGTCAGTTTCGGTCTCTGTCTCTGTCTCTGTCTCTCTCTCTCTCTGTGTCTGCCTCTGTCTCTGTCTCTGTCTCTGTCTGTCTGTCTGTCTGTCTGTCTGTCTCTGTCTGTCTGTGTTTCTGTCTCTCTGACTCTCTCTCTCTCTCTCTCACGCGTCGCCTCCTCCTACCTGTTACGGCCTTCCCTCTGATTGGGAAGCGAGCCGTCGCAGGCTACGGCCCGCGTCGATCCGGGGAAGCGGCGCGTCGCACCTCACGGCTCTCTGGGCTCTGCCACAGATTACGACCTCATCGGGACTGCGAAGGGCGTGCCACGTGTCGCGCCTTTTTTGTTGGCAACTACTCTCGAAGGATCAGTGCGGCACGGGCACGGCGGAGGCGACGAGGAGGAAGAGAAGGAGGAGGAGGAGGGAGGGAGGGAGGAGGAGGAGGAGGAGGAGGGAGGGAGGGAGGAGGGAGGAGGGAGGGAGGGAGGGAGGGAGGGAGTGGAGTGGAGTGGAGTGGACCCCGTTGCGATGCAAGTTCGGTTTCGCCTAGCCTGGCCTGGATGGGGCGCTCGAGCGAGCCGATTGCTCGGCTCGACTCAGGACCTTGGGCTGTAACCCCCTGTGGATCCTGTCAAGGTATGCCCTTCCGTGCTTGGACAATCTAAGCTTACAAGGCGCTTTCAGCGAGCATATCGCCTTGTCGGCGATGGCCCCGCACACACTACAAAACCATACCTGGAGTGACACGTGTACATTTCAAGGGTGGGAGGGAGGGAGGGAGGGAGGGAGGGAGGGAGGGAGGGAGGGAGGGAGGGGAGGGAGGGAGGGAGGGAGGGAGGGGGGACGGGAGGGAGGAGGAAGAGGAGGAGGTGGAGGAGGAGGAGGAGGAGGAGGAGGAGGAGGAGGAGGCGGAGGAGGAGGAGGGAGGAGGACGAGGAAGGAGAAGGGAGAGGAGGGAGGAAGAGGAGGAGGCAGGAGGAGGAGGAGGAGGAGGAGTAGGAGGAGGAGGAGGAGGAGAGGTGGAGTGACGCCACGGGCGGTGGCGCGCCAGCGGCTCGGCTCAAAAAGAAGAGGAGGAGTGAGGAGGAGGAGGAGGAGGAGGAGGAAGTGCAGGAGGCACGGGCACGGCGGAGGCATCTGCCGCAGGCGCCTCCAGCCGCCTCGCACGCACGATCCTGGCCCCGAGCCGGGAGTCCAAGGCTCCGCCTCTCGGAGGCCTCCTTCTGCTCTCTCGTCGGCCCGCTCTCCCTGCTGATCCAGCTCCTCCTCTTCCTCCTCCTCCGCCTCCTACTCCTCCTCCTCTTCCTCCTCCTCCCTCCTCCTCCTCCTCCTCTCCTCCTTCTCCTCCTCGTCCTCCTCCTCCTCCTCGTCCTCCACCTCCTCATCCTCCTCCTGCTCCTCCTCCTGTGGAGGCTTCCTAGATGGGTCCGGAGCAGGTGGGGTCGGAGGATCGCGCGGTATCGCCGATGCATCGGCGATGCGTCGGCGATGCACCAGCAGTGCATCGTGGACGTGGGCGATGCATCGGGGACGTCGACGTGAAGCAAATCGGGCTCCACGTCGAGCTGCATCGGCGATGCGGCGCGATCCTCCGGCCCCATCTACTCCGACCCCATCCAGGAGGCCTAGATCCTGCAACCTTCGGGGTGACCTAAGACTCGGGTACGGGGGACTCTGGTTCGCCTGACGGGGGCCATCATGAGAATGACGAGATCCAGCCTGAAATTTGACGCGGGCTCCCGCTGCAGACATCCCACGAAAACTGGACCGTCATAGTCCAGGACGCGCTGGAGGAGGAGGAGGAGGAGGAGGAGGAGGAGGAGGAGGAGGAGGAGGAGGAGGAGGAGGAGGAGGAGGATAGGAAGGAGGAGGAGGAGGAAGGAGGAGGAGGAGGAGGAACCCTCCTCCTCCGCCAACCGAGCCCCGGCCCAGCGCGCCCCGCCCAGGTCGTCGTAAGGCTTCGGGCCAGGGCTTGAGCGGCCGGGCCCCTGCAGAGCCAGGAAGTGCTGCACGTGCAGCGTGGCGCGGCGGCGGCCCTGGCGACACGCGGTGCCTCGCGAGCGGATAGCGTGCCGCCCCGCTCCGCGAGGTGGGCGGCCGGGGAGGGCTCGGGGCGTTGACGCTCGGGGACGGGGGCGCGGATAACATGTCGCCCCGAAGCGTGGAGGGCCAGAACCAGCGGCGCGACAAGCGGAGCCAGACTTCCTGGCAGTGGCCATCTCTTCATAGCATGTGATGGTCCCGCCCCCGACGTCTTGCTTTTTTCTTGACGTCGACCCCCAGAGGTCTCGACCCATTCCGAGGGACCAGCTTTTCATCCCGAGTTGCTTGTTGACACTCCCGAGGCCCAGTGAGGGCCCCGAGAGGCCGAAAAGAGCCACAAACCTTGCGTCATGACTCTTTCATGACTCGAGGGGGTCTGGGTAATTAGCATGCGCTGGTCCCGCCCCCCACCCTCTCGGCGGTTCAGAGATGGGGGACCCAACCATAGGACGGGATCCAGGATTGACCCACGCTGCATGAGGCACCTCGTCCTTCGGGCCCGATCCCTCTGGACTCCATCTTTGAACCACCGAATGTGGGCGCCGCCATGGCAGGAACCCACGCCTGGGCCGACGCGACGCGAATCCGCCGCTGTCTCCTCCCAGGCTCGCGGCGGGGGTCCCAGGGCCAGCGGAGCGCGGCCAGCAGTGGCACCCCGGCGGGCCCTAGGCCCAGCCCCTGAGCGAACCTTGAGGCCAGACTCCTCCTCCTCCTCCTCCTCCTCCTCCTCCTCTTCTTCTTCCTCCTCCTCCTCCTCCTCCTCCTCTTCCTCCTCCTCCTCCTCCTCCTCCTCCTCCTCCTCCTCCTCCTCCTCCACCACTCCTCTTCCTTACAAATAACCTCTCCCTGTCGCACCCCGAGGCCAGTTTTTAGGGCGGGCCTAGCGTTTCGGCTGAGACTTCCTCACCACTTATGACTCTGAAATTTAAACCGCGGCAACAAGCTCACATCTGGAGGGCGGGTGGTTTTCAAAATGTGGTTCTCGCACTAGCGCTGGGCACATTCGCTTTAAACATGATGTGCAAGAACTTCACAGATTGAGGACGGGTCGTGTTCAAAATGTGGATATCGCCTTAGCGCCGCGCACAGTCGTTGTAAACAGTTGCAAGAGCTTCACAGATCGAGGGCGGGTCGTTTTCAAAATGTGGCTCTCGCCTTAGCGCCGCGCACTTTCGTTTTAAACAGTTGCACGAGCTTCACGGGTTGAGGGCGGCTCCTTTTCAAAATGTGACTCTCGCCCTAGCGCCGCGCACATTCGCTTTAAACATGATGTGCAAGAGTTTCTCAAATTGAGGACGGGCCGTTTTCAAAGTGTGGATATCGCCTTAGCGCCGCGCACAGTCGTTTTCAAACTTTGCAAGAGCTTCACGGATTGAGGGCGGGTGGTTTTCAAAATGTGGCTCTCGCCTTAGCGCCGCGCACATTTGTTGTGCACAGTTGCAAGAGCTTCACGGATTGAGGGCGGGTGGTTTTCAAAATGTGGCTCTCGCCTTAGCGCCGCGCACAGTCGTTGTAAACAGTTGCACGAGCTTCACGGGTTGAGGGCGGCTCCTTTTCAAAATGTGACTCTCGCCTTAGCGCCGCGCACATTTTTCTAAACATTGGAAGAGTTTCGCGGATTCCCATGATCGGCGTACCAGCATTTGTGTTTTGCAGAAACTCCGGATTATGCGGGTGCAACAGTTCTGTCGACTCGCGGTGTTGAGAACTCAAAACGGCGTTCTGGCACGATTCCGCATCGCCAAGACGCAGCAGTCAGGTTGATCCGTGGCTTTGAAATCCCGAGAACAATGTTTTGGGATGCTTCAGGGTCTTCAGGCGGTTGTCTTCCAGCGAGGCACTTCCCTCAACCGACACGAGCCGTTGTAGGGGCCTGTGAAGAGGGAGCTTGGAGGGAGGGCTACTTCCAACATCGTTGATGACTCTTGGGTGTACACTGGTCCTCCTCCTCCTCCTCCTCCGACCAACCACCTGGCGTCTGGAGTCTGGAAAACACCTTCGAGCCGCCTTTCCCCCCCGCCCACGTCGCAGCCGCCGACCGGCGCGGCCGAGGGCCCGGCAGAGCGGCGAAGCAGCGCGCACGACAGGGGCAACGGGGCGGACTCGGAGGAGGGCCCACATTGGGGCGGGTGGCAAGGGGCCCCTTGGGGCCCCTTGTTGGCTCCCAAAGGGGCCCCTCAGAGCTCCTCTGTAGGGCCCCCTTCTCCGACCCCGGTTCAAGCCACCGTCCACGAGCATCCGCCTGAGACAGCAGCGGCCCCCCATGCTCGGGCCGAAGCCGCTCAGAGTCGGCCCCGGGGGGGTGCATCCCCAGACATGCTCGCGTCGTGCAATTTTATCATGATTGCTTGCTGGGGGGGTTCGCAGCGTCCGGAATAGCAGCTCGGGGCCCTCGAGATCGCTCCGAAAGTGCCCAGGACGTCCCCGAGACGGCCCCAAAATAGCCCGAGAGGCCCCCAAGATGAGCCCATGAGGCCTCCAGCATGCCCCGAAGACGCCCCCACAAGGCCCTGAGACAACTTGTAGAGACGCGGAAGGTGTTTCATCGTTTTCGGACTACTGGGGACTACGCATTCAACAAAAATCAGAGCGTCGCATGTCTGGGTCAAGGCTCGAGCTAAACAGTGTATTTCGTTTTCGTTTAGTTTTCGTTTTCCTTCGTTCTGTCTTCGTTCTGCCTTTGCTGCGAATCGAAATCAACACGAGAACGGTCCACGAAATGGCTAAAACAACGCTTACCTCGAGCCCTGGTCTGGGTCCTGACCCGTGTTCCGAGGCGGATCCAGCCGTGGCGACGAGAAGACTCCAGGAGGACCCGAAAGGGCAACCAGAAGCAGGGGAGCGCCACCGTGGCCTCGACTGGGCCTCCTCCGGAGGACGGCCTCGCGCCAATTCGCGCCCCGCCTCGGGCGAGGCGGGGGCTGCTGCTGCGGATCACCGAAGCGAGAGCCGCTTCCTGGCGGCGCGCATTATCATGGGTGCAGGGGGAGGTGGGAAGGCCTCTTAGAAGGAGGCTGCTTCTCAGAGGGCGACGGCCTTAGGAGGAGGAGGAGGAGGAGGAGGAGGAGGAGGAGGAGGAGTGGAGGAGGAGGAGGATGAGGAGGAGGAGGAGGAGGAGGAGGAGGAGGAGGATGAGGAGGAAGAGGAAGAGGGAGGAGGAGGAAGAGGGAGGAGGAGGAGGAGGAGGAGGAGGAGGAGGAGGAGGAGGGGAGGAGGAGGAGGAGGAGGATGGAGGAGGAGGAGGAGGAAGGAGGAGAGAGGAGGAGGAGGAGGAGGAGGAGTGGAGACGAGGCCCGCGCCGCGCCTTCTGAGAGGCAGGGGTGCTTCTGCAGGGCCTCTCCCCCCTCCCCCGTGCCCCCCCCTCTCCGCGTGGCCGAGCCACTACGCCGCGCACGGCTGCGGCTGCCGCCCTCCCAGGGCGCCCGCCTCCTCGGGGGGGGGGCGTCCGAGAGGGGCGCCCGCAGAGCCTGGCCCGAGGCAGGCGCGCGGGGACGCGGGAGGGGGGCCAGGAGGCGTCCCTCCTCCCTCCTCCCTCCTCCGAGCGAGGGGGGCCAGGAGGCGTCCCTCCTCCCTCCTCCCTCCTCCGAGGGAGGGGGGCCAGGAGGCGTCCCTCCTCCCTCCCCCCTCCTCCCTCCTCCGAGGGAGGGGGGCCAGGAGGCGTCCCTCCTCCCTCTCCTCCGAGGGAGGGGGGCCAGGAGGCGTCCCTCCTCCCTCCCCCTCCTCCGAGGGAGGGGGGCCAGGAGGCGTCCCTCCTCCCTCCTCCCTCCTCCGAGGGAGGGGGGCCAGGAGGCGTCCCTCCTCCCTCCCCCCTCCTCCGAGGGAGGGGGGCCAGGAGGCGTCCCTCCTCCCTCCTCCCTCCTCCCTCCTCCCTCGTCCGTCGGCGGCGAGGCAGGGGCTGGCTGCGCCGGCGGAAAGACCCACCCCAAACGGGGGCACCGCTGCAGGGCCTCTGGCCAGCGTGCAGGAGAGGGGACCGCAGGACAGAGCGGGCGGGCGGGCCGAAACAAGGGAGAGGGGACCATGAAATCCGGCCGGGCATCGTATTCCTGGCCAGGCCACGCTATCCCCCCCCCAGGTCATCCCCGCCCTCTTGGCCGCCCCCGACCTCTTCAGGTGCCGCTGCTGCCCGGGCCCTTCCAGGGGCGCGCCCTGGCCAGGAGTTTGAGGCGAGTCCAGCCGTGGCGACGAGGAGTGGTAAGGGATGTCGGTACATGTTCCTCCCGTACGCCTCCGCCAGCAGGGCCGCGGCGTCGCGGAAATACGCGTGGTCCTTCGCCATCCGCGCCGAAATCCGCGCCTTCGGGTCGTAGGCCATGAGCTTCTCGAGGAGGTCTATGCCGTCCGCGCCGACCTGGGCCTTCATGTTCCGGATGTTGGCCCAGCCCCTGGACTTCCACTTCGGGAATGTGGTCTTGTAGTCCTTCAAGGAGACTATCTCTGGCCACTCCGCCTCGACTGGGGAGGAGGAGCTCTGCTACCCCTGCACTTCTTATTCCTCCTCCTTCTCCTCATCATCCTTCACTCCCTCCTATCCTTTCAGTGTCATCTTTTCTTCCACCTCCTCCTCCATCCAACTTTTCCTTGTTAATGACTCATGCACCCCAGGACGTGTCCGTAGGGCGGGCAGGTCGTTTGGCCCGCGAGTTCTTCGCCATGTGTGATCCCGACGCTTAGACTTTGCAAGAGCTTCGCGGAAGGCGGGCGGGCCGTTTCAAGATGTGGCTCTCACCGAAGCGCCGCACACATTCGTCTTGAAAGTTTGCAGCAGCTTCACGGATGGAGGGTGGACGGTTTTCAAAATGGTATTCTCGCTTTCGCGCCGCGCACACACACACACTCGTCTTAACAAGTTGCAGCACTTTCAAAGATGGAGGGCGTTTTTGCTCTCGACAGGCGGTTCTTGCTTCAGCGCTGCGCGCATTCAGGCCCCCATCCAGTTCCATTGATTAGCATGGTCGAAGTCCCCAATGGCGTTCTGGCAAGACTTGGGATAGTCGTGACTGTCATGAGACAACCCTCAACGTGGATTCGCGGCTTTCAAGTCCCAAGAACAACGTTCTGGCACGACTTAGCGCTGTCAAGACGCAACATGCGCGTTGACTCGCGACGCTGAATTCCCAGGAATGGTACTTTGGCACATTGGAGGATTGTCGTCAGACGGTTGTCTTCCTGGGGGGGAATTCCCGCAATGAGAGTTCATTGTGTCCTGTGAAGAGGGAGCTTGGAAGGAGGGTGCATTTCGACATCGTTGATGCTTCTTGGGTTTCAACTGGTTCCTCCTTCTCCTCCTCCTCTTCTTCCTCCTCCTCCTGCGTCTCGCCCGCCTCGCGGCAATCCCCACCGTTGATGGCGAATTGCGATGGGCGCGTCGCATGGGAGATTCGTCGTGCCAGGGTGCTGCGCAGGCCCGCTGAAATCGACTAGACGACACGACGACAAGGACGACGACGACGACAACAGACGACGGACGACGGACGACGGTCCTGAGAAAACTCAGGACAAGGTGTCACCCGCGGACGGGGCTCCCCTGAACGGAAAACCACCACGCGGCCAGGGTAGCCGCCCAGGCTCCCGAAATAGTTTCCTCGCTACAGAGTGCATTAGGCTTGCGTTCCTCCTGCTCCTCCTCTTCCTCCTCCTCCTCCTCCTCCTCCTTCTCCTCCTCCTCCACCTCGTCGCTCCCTCCTCCTCTCCTCCTCCTCCTCCTGCTCCTCCTCCTCCACCTCGTCGTCCTCCTCTCCTCCTCCTCCTCCTCCTCCTCCTCCTCCTCCTCCTCGTCCTCCTCCTCCTCCTCCTCCTCCTCCTCCTCCGCCACTCGCGCCGCACCGCCGCCGCAACGCGCCCCTGCGGCCCAGCTGCGGCCGCTCCGCGGCGCGGCAGCATGCCAGCAGTCGCAGCAGCCTGGCGGCCGCCGACGCCCAGCACCTTGGCAGCCCCGCGCGGTCTCAGCGGCGCCCGCACCCCGCGCCCCTGGCTGCCCAGCAAGGATTGCAAAAAAACCCAGGATTGCAAAAAAAGGATTGCAAAAAAACCCTTCGGCACGAAGGATTGCGAAAAAAACCAGGTTTTTTTTGCAATCCTTCGGCGCCGACGCCAGCCGGCCGCGGCCGCCTGGCGTCCCGGCGAAGCTCAAGCCTTCGCCACCGCTTAGCCGGAGCCTTGGCGGCCCCCCCGCGGCTCGCGCCGCCGCCCGCGCGCGCCTGCCCCGGCGCGCTCGGCGCACCCCGGCAGCGCTGCGCCAGCTCTCGCTGCAGGGCGCAGCTGAGCACCCCGCCGCCAGTCGGCCCGCGCCAGCTCCTCGGGCTGCGCGTTCTCCGGGAGCTCCCAGACGTGGCTCAGGAGCCACTATTCCGCGCCGCGCCGCCGAGGCTGGCCCCTGGTCTCAGCGGCGAACGCCGTCAGGCGCTCGTCGGGGTCTCGCGCGTGCTTCGCGCGATCGGCTCGGCGAGCCGCCTCGCAAGGGCGTCTCGCCAGCCTCCTCCCCCTCCTCCTCCGCCTCCCAGGTCCCCTTCCTCCTCCTCCTCTCTCCTCCCTCCTCCCTCCTCCTCCTCCTCCTCCTCCTCTCTCCCTCCTCTCCTCCTACTTTCCTTCCTACTACTTTTCCTCCTCCTCCTCCTCCTCCTCCTCTTCCTCCTCCTCTCTCCTCCTCCTCATCATCCTCATCATCCAGTATCATCATCATAATCAGAATAATAATCATCGTCATCATCATCATCATCATCATCATCATCATTCATCATCATCATCATCATCATCATCATCATCATCATCATCATCATCATCATCATCATCATCATCATCATCATCATCATCATCATCATCACCATCACCATCACCATCACCATCATCATCAGCAGCATCATCACCACCACTATCATCAGCAGCAGCAGCAGAAGCAGCCTCCTCCTCCTCCTCCTCCTCATCATCATCATCAGCATCAGCATCAGGATCAGGATCATCATCATCATCATCATCATCATCATCATCATCATCATCATCATCATCATCATCATCAGCACCATCATCATCAAGATCATCATCCTCATCAGCATCGTCATCAGCATCATCGTAATCATCACCATCAGTATCATCATCACCATCATCACCATCATCAACATCTTTAAAACCATGATCATCATCACCATCATCATCAGCATCAACATTAGCATCATCATCGTCATCATGATCATCCTGCTCCTGCTCCTGCTCCTCCTTTTCCTGCTCCTCCTCCGCCTCTTCCTCTGCCTTCTCCTCCTCTTCCTCCTCCTCCTCCTCCTCCTCCTCCTACCCCTCCTCTTCCTCCTCATCATCACCATCACCCACCATCACCATCACCATCCATCACCATCACCATCACCATCACCATCACCATCACCATTATCATCATCGTCATCATCATCATCATCATCATCATCATCATCATCATCATCATCATCATCATCATCATCATCATTAGCATCATCAGCATCATCATCACCGCCATCAGCATCATCATCCTCATCATCATTATCATGATCCTCATCCTCATCCTTCTCCTCCTCATTCTCATTATCTTCATACTAATCGTAATCATAACTATCATCATCAGCAGCAGCATCAGCATCAGCATCATCATCACCATCACCATCACCATCACCATCATCATCATCATCATCATCATCATCATCACCATCACTATTATCATCAACATCACCACCATCATCATCATCATCATCATCATCATCATCATCATCATCATCATCATCATCATCATCATCATCATCATCATCATCATCATCATCATCCTGCTCATGCTTCTCCTCCTCCTCCTGCTCCTCCTCCTCCTCCTCCTACTGCTCCTCCACCTCCTCCTTCGCCTCTGGGCGTTGGGGCTGTGGTCCTGGGTCCCTCGCCAGCCGCCGCCTGGAAACAACCACTTTGGGGACTGGCCCCGTGGCACGCCGCGTCGCCGAATGAGTTGCACCAGGGCCGCGGTCATCCGCGAATGCCCCCGCTTGCGGAGGAGGAGGAGGAGGAGGAGGAGGAGGAGGAGGAGGAGGAGAAGGAAGAACAGGGGGCGGGGGAAGAGGAGAGGAGGGTGGCGAAACACACGCAGGGGCGGCCAGCAAGGGGCAAGGAGGGGGAGGTGGGCGACGGAGGTCGGTGGTCACGTCGTCGGGGGGATGCGGTCGTGGTCGTGGCCGTCGTGACAGCGAGTCGTCATGCCGCCGGGCCCGTCGCAGTCGTCGATGTCATTGGCAATGTCATTGGGGCCCTGCTCGCCGACGCTGCTGGGGTCGCTGCCGTTGGAGTAGCGGTCGTGCTGGATGGTGCCGTGGTCGTGGTGATTGATAGTGGTGGCAGTTGTGGCCGTGGTCGTGGTGATTGATAGTGGTGGTCGTGCTGGATGGTGCCGTGGTCGTGGTGATTGATAGTGGTCGTGCTGGATGGTGCCGTGGTCGTGGTGATTGATAGTGGTGGGAGCTGTGAACCTCATTGGCCTATGGCGCTAAGTTCCATCTCTGCGCTGCCGCGTTGGAGCTGTCGGGATAGCCAAGGGCCACTTCATCGACGCTGTGCCAATACGCTCGGGCGGCTTCGTCGGACGAACGGCCTAATCTCTCGAAGACCAGAGGGGCAAGGTCACCTCCGCTGGGGGGGTACCTGGTCGGCCTCTCCCGAACCATGACTGCTGCGGCCACGCTGGCGTTGTTTGACCAGGCTTGCGTGCGGGGGGCTTACCCTGCGTATTCGCAGGTAGTGCTCCAATCTAAGCCAATGGGCCGGCCAGTGACCGGATCCATGGTGGCGACGTCCACCTTGCCAGCCTCCAGCACGCTACTGCGCCGGTTGACGCAGTCCCACACTGGGATAAGCTGCTCCATGGCCGAGGCGAAGCCAGTGAGGGTGGTGTGCCGCTGTGCGTGCCAATCCCGCATGCGGTGTGGCGGGCGGGGCGGAACTAACCAGCTCCGCAACACCGCGTGTGCCACCCGTCCAGCGGCGCGCCGCAGAAAGCACCGTCGCCGCGGCGGTGGCGCCCGGCAGGCAGACGCAGCACCAGAGGCGAAGCTTCATGGCGGTGGGGAACTGTTTGCAAGGCATGGCTGGGCCACCCTCCTCACAAGGCAGGCGCGAAGCTGCCAGCTCCCGTCCCGCGGGCGCCCCGGATCGCCAGGCGGTCGCCCCCGAGCGTGCCGAGGAGGTGGACTCGTGTGGCCGCGGGGCGCGCCTCCCCCCGCCTGCCCTGCAGCTTGGGGACGGGCCCTCGGAAGCAGCCCAGCCAACATCGAATTCGCCGCCCGTTGCCCCCTGCCCTGGGCGCGGAGGCCGGCGTCAGATTCCACGAGGGCCTGGTGAGTCAGGGGGCACTGCGCTCGGAAGTCCTTCCAGCTCTGGAAGCCCGCGGCCTGCGCGAGGTCCTGCAGGACGAGGGCCCAGCTCGCCGCGCATGCTGATGCGGAGGCGGCCCGGGCCGAGGGCAAGGACATCCCGCCGCCCTTGAGGCGCATGGTGGCCCGCGCGCGCTGCAAGGGGTCCAGCGAGGGAGGAGCTCCTCCAAGCAGCCAGAAGACCACATCGTCGAGCTGGTCCACCCGAGAGAGGTCTGGATGGGCTCACAGATGGCGGGCCACTGCACCCCGGGCATCGGTTCGAAGGAGCGTGAAAGATGCCTCGGCCGAGAACCCCGCCGCTCGCAACATCCGGAGCTGCCCCGCGAACCCGACGGCTTTGGCCACCGCGGAGGCGCCGGCAAGTCTGGCGTGGGTACGGACTCGCTCGCCCGCCTGGTCCGTCCACGGCGCTGCGTCGCCAAGACACTTCAGGTGCGGCACGCGGCGGTTGGCCAGCGCGGGGGGGGGGGGTCGAGGCCTGCGTCCTTGGTCCAAGCATGCGTCTTCTCCTTGATGACCTGCATCCCCTAATTACCGGGAGAGCGGCTCGACAACGATCTGGTTCGCCGCCGCCGCGTGTTCAGGCGGGGTGAAGATCATCGCGTCGTCAGAGCAGCGGGAGACCTGACACGCGAGCGAGGGCCTCTGCAGCGCGGCAGGGACCTCGTCCGGGACGTCGGTAACAGCGATGGCGAACAGCCCTGGGGACAGAGGGCAACCTTGGTCAACCCCGCTGGTCGCCCGCACCGCTCTGTCGGCGACGTTCCACAGCAGGTGCGTCGTGGCCCTGCCGGGCCAGGCCGTCGCCGGTGGGCCGGGTGGGCCGAGGTCTGGGGCGCGCGCGCCCGCGCTGGCCAGAGCTCGCTGCCACGGAATCGTATCGAAAGCGTTCGTGGCGTCGAATGCCTCACTGCGGGCTTGCCTCCGTCAGGGCAGCGAGAAGCCCTTGGACCAACTAGCAGGCAGCCGGCCGGCCTACGGCGTACTGGAGCGGCCTGCGGCGTACTAGATCCGCCCGCGTCCAGCCTGGATGCCGTCCGCAAGAACTGTGCAGGCCGCTCGCCCCGCAAAAAACGCCGCATGACCCCGCCACAGAAGATTGGGCGGATGCCGCCGATGGGTTCGCCAAGAGCCACGGGCCGTGCTTCTAGGGGTGCTCACATTGCTCCTGCGCTGACCTCCCCGTGAAGAGAAAGACGACGACGACTACCTTGGCGGAAGCCTCGAATGCAGGCGTGCGACGGAGCAGACCGTGGTTCCCAGGGCCGGGTCGCCGGGGCGCGCTGCGGACGTGCCCCACGACCGCGGCGAGCAGCTCGCGTTCTGAGTTCACGCCGAAGAGGCTGCTGCGCTGGCCCGCTCCTCGCTGCGGGGGCGCCCGCGGGGAGGAGCTCCTGCAGGGTCGGCGCGGCCGCCGCTCCCCTGGGCTGGCGTTGGCGGATGGCGGCGGCCGTGGCTTTGCCGACCAGGCCCTCGCGAACGCTTTCTTAACTACTCGGCGGTTCGACACTGGGCGGAAGGAGGGGGTGAGTGGGGGGGTCTGGCTCCGGACCTCTGCTGGATGCGACGGTATTTTTTTGCAACGCTGCGTCCCTATGGTCCCTATGGGGGAGAGAGGCTCCGCTCGCTTGAAACAGGCGCCAAAAACAGCCAAGATCTACTCCATGGCGGGGGGGGGGACGGGGGCAAGAGCTGGAGGAGGAGGAGGAGAACGAGGAGGAGGAGAGGAGGACGAGGAGGAGGAGCAGGAGGAGGAGGAGGTAGGAGCAAGAGGAGGAGGAGGAGGAGGGGGAGGAGGAAGAGGAGGAGGAGGAGGAGGAGGAGGAGGAGCAGGAGGAGGAGCAGGAGGAGCAAGAGGAGGCGGAGGACAATGAGGACGAGGAGGAGGAGGAGGAGGATAATGAGGAGGAGGAGGCGCAGGAGGAGGAGGAGGAGAAGGAGCAGGAGGAGGAGGAGGTGGAGGAGGAGGAGGTGCGAGGGCCCGCGCCGATCGGTCAAGCAGTGAATAAGACAACGATCACCGGCGTTTCCCTGTCTGCTCGGCAGCACGTGCCACGGCGCGGGCCGCTGGCCGTACCGCCTCGGCGGGCGCGCATACCCTGGGCGCGGGCGGCCCGCCAGAGGGCAGGCCAGGCCCCCCCCCGTTCGTGCAGCTGGAGTCTCGGGGGCGAGGGGGGGAGGAGGATGAGGATGAGGATGAGGATGAGGATGAGGATGAGGACTTGAGGATGAGGAGGAGGAGGAGGAGGAGGAGAGTGAGGAGAGGAGGAGGTACGAGGGGGAGGAGGGAGGAGGAGGAGGAGGAGGAGGGAGGAGGAGGGAGTAGGAAGAGCGGCTAAAAGCGACGGCTGAGACCACGCCCTCTCGTCGTCTCGCCGCCGCGGTGCTTCTGGTCCTCCCGGTTTCTGTGGGCATCACCCGCGTCAGAAGGAAGGTGAAGAGTTCCACACACCCCCTTACCTCCTCCCGTCCACCTCCCTCCCTCCCTGCCTCCTCTCTCCCCCCGATCCACCCTCTCCCTGCCTCTCCCTCCCTCCCTCCCTCCCTTCCTCCCTCCCTCCCTCCCTCCCTCCCCCTCTCCCTCTCTCCCTCCCTCCTTTCCCCCCTTCCCCCATGCCCCTCCGCAAACTCACGATATAAATACTACTCTCCTCCCTCCACCGAAGACCACGAGGTCGTAGCCTGCCCCCTTCCGCGCAGCGTTTTTCAAACATACGGTCCCCAAAATGTGGTCGACCATGTGTTTTGTTCCAAGCCGAACGTTTTCGATGCTTCCCGGATGGCGCTCCAGCGTTGGCTCCACTTTCTGGCTCTCAGTCCTTCCAGTTCGTACTCCCGCTGCAGCGCTGATCGCAAGTCTTTGCTGCGGATCTTCCAAATTTTGTTCCCTCTACAGCAATGGCTTTTACGTTACATATTCGCTCTTTCCGAGCCGCTCATTTACATTATTCGTCTTGCGTCATGGCTGGCTTCCCTCTGAACATGTCACGCTCTGCCGTGCTCTTCTAAGCCGTGCTACGCCGTGCACGACCATGCATCTCGTACCCTCTCGGGACCATTGCCCTGCTCGACATCCGACTGTGCGAATAGAGAGGAGATCTACGCCGTGGTAAGGGATGGGAGGGAGGGGTAGGGTTTCAGATCAGACGCTTGCACACCCAGCTTGCCTTCCCCCTCTCGCAGAGCCGCGCCTTTTGGTCATGCCAAATCTCAGGGCATGGCCTCCCTCCCCCTTTTCCCTCCTCCTCCCTCTCCTCCTCCTCCTCCCTCCTCCTCCTCCTCCTCCTCCTCCTCCTCCTCCTCCCCCTCCTCCTCCTCCTCCTCCTCCTGCTCCACCTCCTCCTCCTCCTCCTCCTTTTTTTCTTAGTTGCCCATACCTTATGCGTCCGCATGTGGCGTTCATTCTTCCCCCTCCTCCTCCTCATCATCCTCCTGCCCCTCCCCTCGCCCTCCTCCTCCGCCTCCTCCTCCTCCGACTCCTCCTCCTCCTCTGCATTTACTATCCTCCTCCTCCTGCTCCTCCTCCTCCTCCTCCTCCTCCTCCTCCCCCTTCCCTCCTCCTTTCTCGCCCCTGCTCCCGGCTCCCTCCTCCCTCCCCGATCTCCCCCTCACCTCCTACATCCTTCCCTCCCTCCTCACTCCTCCCTCTTCTCGGAACAGGGCGAATTGAGATAACCGCAATTCGAAGTGGATGCCCAGACCCCTCCCGGGATCCAAGCGCACTGCGCACCAGCTGTCCGAGCTGCGTCCAGCCGTGGCGACGAGAGGGCTCCCCCGAAATCCAACTGCCACTGCCTTGACTGGCCCCCCTCTGATCTTCGTCGCCCTCCTCCCTTCCTGCCTCTGTGGGTGTCCCCAGCTTCTGGAAGATCTTGAAGAGCGTGTGGATCTCCGAGTCGCCCCCGAACAGGGGGGTGCTGGTGGCCATCTCGCCCATCACGCAGCCGACGCTCCTGAGGAGCAGCAGCAGAGGGGGAGGAACGGTGGCAGGCCCAGAGGTTGACACCAACACCAAAATCGGCGGCGTGCCTCCAGGGAGGGGAGATGATCCCGATATCGGTGATGGTGGTAATTATTCTGGCTGCCCAGGCGGCCGAAATATTGCCACCAACGCCGAAATCTATGATCATCCTCCCCCAGTGTGCGCACCCCCCTGTTTTGATGCTGGTGACAATTTCGAAGCCTCCAAAAGAGTAAGCAAAGGAGGACCGTGAGATCCGGACGATGAAATTGTTCCACACCGAACATTTTCGCCCTGCTCCGGACCCTGGGACCATCACAGACAGATCCGGGTCGAAAATGCAACGGTAAGGTAAGGTCCAGGGGCTCTGGCCGTGATTTGTCACGGTGTTGCTTTTTGTTGCGTGACGTCGGACCTCAAAGGAGGAGGAGGAGGAGGAGGAGGAGGAGGAGGAGGAGAAGGAGGAAGACGATGTTGTTAGCACAAGCGCCCGCTGCGTGAACTAAAGCACGGTGAATGCTTCAGAAAGAAAGCTGAGGCCGTTCTCGTTGGGATGAAGCCCCCTGCATAGTCTGTTCCAACTGGACTTGTTCTACTTGTCTTTGCCAGTCCTGGGGTCCTTCCCACGACCAGTACACACTTCCCCAAGCTTATCAAGACGAGCACCCAAGGAGGAGGAGGAGGAGGAGGACGAGGAGGAGAAGGACGAGGGGGGGGGAGGCCCAGTGCAAGCCCAAGACGCATCAACTACCTTGCAGTCAACCATCCTTCCGAATTCCCTGCTCATAGGTATCATGGCGGGGGAGCTCCCCTTTGAAAGACAACCGTTGGAGACTACCCAGCAAAACACCATTCCTGGCACTTCAACACCGCGAATCAACGTGTCCGTTACGTCCCGACAACCCTTCGCCGTGACAGAACACACTTTCTGGGATCGTAGCGCCGCGAGCCCACCGCTGCGTCCTTACATCCCTAAGCCGTGCAGGGACACCGCTCCTGGCACTTCAGTCATACGAACCCTTAAACAGCTGCTGTGCACTTCTAAAACTAGCGCGCGCGGCGCTAAGGCGACAATCACATATAGACAACGGGCCGCTCTCCACCCTGCCGCAGACATTCAAGACGGAGGTGCGCAAGGCGGATGCGAGAACCTCATTTGTGAGCAGAAGCGGTTCGCCATCCAACCTTCAAGCTGATGCGAACTTTGGAAAAAAATGTGCGCGGCGCTCCAGCGAGAGCCACATTCTGATGACGGGCCGTCCTCGATCCTCGGAGCGGTTGCAAACGTTTAAGACGAACGTGCGCGGCGCGAAAGCGAGGGCCGCATTTTGAACATTTGCCGCCCTCCACCCTTTCAAAGGTAGCATCAATTGAAATCGGATTGCACGTAAGCCTAAGGCGAGAGCCACATGTTGAAAACGATCTGCCCTCCATCCCGAAAGCTGCTGCATTTTTTCGAGACGAGTGTGCGCGGCGTTGCAGCGAGAACCACATTCTAAACACGGGCCGCCCTCGATCCTTGAAGCGGTTCCAGTGTTTGAGGCGAATATGCGCGGCCCTTAGGCGAGGGCCGCATTTTGGAAACGATCTGCCCTCAACCCGTTAAGATGCTGCACATTTCAAGGCTCAAGATCACAAATGGCTCGGGCATCTCAAGCGGAACACCCAGCTCGCCCTACCGACACGTCGGGGGGTGCGACAAGGCGAATCTGTTCACTTATGAGGACAAGGGGTGGAGGATGAGGACGAGGAGGAGGAGAAAGATATGCCGAGGAGGAGGAGGACGAGGAGGAGCAGGAGGACGAGAAGGAGAAGAAAGACGACGAGGAGAACGCCGACGAGAGGAGGAGGAGGAGGAGGAGGAGGAGGAGGAGGAGGATGAGGAGGAGGAGGTGCGGAGAGGCGGCGGAGAAGAAGGAGGAGGAGAATGATAGGATGGGGTTGAGCTCGCTCGCTCAACGTAGGCATGGGAAGGATCCGCGCTCGTCCACGGGGAAGATGCAGGAGGAAGGGGGAGGGTGGAGGGAAAACCAAGAGGGAGAGAGAGAGGGAGCTCGGAGAGGCTGCAGGCGAGCCGAAGCACGCGGGCTGCGCCCCCCAAGAGTGGCTAGCCCAAGCGTGCAGTCAGACGTGGCGGGTTCGCGCGACGTTCGATCAGGGCCGCCCCCCTGAGGGCTGGTTGGGGCGTCATCTCCGCGAGTGGTGGGGAAGAGGAGGAGCAGCGGGGCCTGTGATAGGAAAGCCTCCCTTCCCCCCCACTTCTTCCAACTCGCTCTTCCCCCCGCCCACCTCCTCCTCAGCATCCTCCTCCTCCACCTCCTCCCGCTCCTCCTTCTCCTCGATCTCCTCTTTCCCAGGCACGCGATGTCTGGGTTTATTCCATCCGCGGTCCCCGCAAGTGCCGACCCTTTCGCCACTGCTACTCTTTCACCCCGAATCGTTTTCTGACGGCCCCGAGGCCTGGCAAGGGCCCCCGGAGGCCGAAAACTGCCCAAAACCTCAAGTCGTATTCTTGTTCACTGCGCGAGCCTGTCTGCATCCCCTCCTCGCCCGCCTCTTCGTCATCGCGCTCCTCCTCGGCGCCCTCTCCCCTGGAGGCGGAGGAGGGGGGGGCAGCTCCAGATGTCCACGGGCACGCTGTAGACCTCCTGGCCCAGCAGGATCTCGGGAGCCCGGTACCACACCGTGACCACCTCGCGGCGGGGCGCGGCCGGGCACGCTGCTGCAGGCGGAAGGGGCGGGGCAGAGTGAGGAATTGGGCACTGGCCTTGCGCAGAGGGCGTAAGCAAGGCTGAGGCTGAGGTGGAGGAGGCGGTGGTGGAGGAGGAGGAGACGAGCAGGGATCATGCAGAGGAGGGTCGGGGCGAAGGCAAGGACGAGGTCGAGGAGGGTCGAGGAGGACACTGACAGAGCTGTGAGGATGGCGGAGAGGGTGGCGGTGGCGCAGGGGGATTCTGCACCAGGTGACGCTACCATCTAAGAAAGCCAATGTTGGTTTCACAACGTCGTGCTGCTTATTCTGGGGCCGCGGCATGTACAACGTTGTCCCCTAATGAATTGGTTTACTGGTGTATTGGTTGACCATTGTATGAAGTTGGAGGTACCTTGGACCCCTCCTTGCACAATAATAACAATAAGAATAATAATAATAGTAATGATGATGGTGATGATGATGACGCGCCGCCTCAGCAGTACATCGGCGATGCATCGGCGATGCACCAGCGATGCATCGCCGATGCATCGGCGACGCTTCCGCGACATCGGCGTGGGGGGAAATCGGACGGCGCATCGAGCCGCCTCGCCGACGCATCGGCGATGCGGGCCGATCCTCCGACCCCATCTACTCGGACCCCATCTAGGAGGCCTACAATGTTTGATGGTCCTGGGGTTTGGCCGGGCATGTCCTCCTACGCAAGGGATTCTGGGCGAAGAATGCAAAGTATCAGAAAAATCCTTCAAACGTTACCGTGCGACGTACCCAACCCACGTGCATCAAATGGCAAGAGGAGTATGCCAACATTAGCAGGAACAACGACAGTGTAGACGCGGCGATTTGCTGTGCAAGCTACATGGGACGCGCATGCGTTGCACGATTCACAGGGCGACGATCGAAAGAACGAGGCTTGAGGCCCCAGGATCGAAGAAGAACGGGTACGGGAACGAGGGGTAGGAGAGGGATGGAATGGAGGGCGGGGGGGGCGAAAGGCCATCGCGGAAGCAGCAGCATGCGTGGAGAAGGTGAGGCGGGGAATAGGACGACGATGAAAGTGGCGGGAGGAGACAGAAGACTGCCGCGTTTTTTCAAGTGCGAGCTAAACCCGCAGCGCTGCCTGCGCCATGTCGTCGCAGAGTTCCACATGATAAAACTTGTTTAGAGTGCAAAGAACGAGCGAGGCGTAGCTCGCCCGCTAGCTTCTCCGCCTCCTTCCCGCACATTTCAGCGCGGGAGCTGAACGCTCGCAGGCGCGCCGCCAGGTCTGCGGGCGGCCCGCGGGAAAGAAACTCAAGGCCGGGGTTGCGTATCATCAATCGGTTGTCCATCGTCCAAAGTTGCACTGGCGACGTACTGGTTGAACGCGGAGCGAGCAGCATCACGCGCGTGCCTGAACGCCACGCAGGTACAGTGCAAGCGCGATTGGGACTTCAGGTCGATCACGCGCGTCTCCACCAGGCTTGGCAACACCACGCGACTGAGGATCTCACTGCGGTCTGCCATGCTGCTGTCCGCGAATGCAATGCGCTGCCTGCAAGTAAGGCGGCGGCGTCCACTTGTCTCAGAAGATGTTCCCGCGGGCCCGAAGGGCGACCGCCAGCTCGAGCCGCGGCGCCGGCAGGTAGTTCCCCTAGCTCATCGAGCTCAGCAGATGTTTCTGCGGGTCCGAAGGACGACCGCCAGCTCGAGTCGCAGCGCCGACGAGCTACATCCACATCAGGCAACACGCAAGGAGACACTGGCACACAACGATTTGACGTCAGTCAGTGCCAGACCACTCCATGTCTAGTTCCTCGCGCACATACAGTCGATCGCAGATGCGGGATAATCGAAGTAGAATGACGGGTCCAATCTGCGTCCGCGTAGGACGTCACTATGCTGGATCCCGCAGCAGGTCTCGAAAGTGGCGACAGTTTCATGGGCCCCACAGCAGCCCTCGAAACTGGCGACAGTTTCACAGATCGTAGCCCCCCAGCGCTGGCGAGGTTGAGTCCCCGTAGGACGTCACTCCGCTGGCCCCCCAGCAGCCTTCGAAAGTGGCGACAGTTTCACAGATCGCATCCCCCCAGGGATGGCGAGGTCCAATCTGTATCCCCGTAGGGCGTCACTCCGCTGGGCCCCCCACGCAGCCTTCGAAAGTGGCGACAGTTTCACAGATCGCAGCCCCCCAGGGATGGCGAGGTCTAATCTGAATCCCCGTAGGGCGTCACTCCGCTGGGTCCCCCAGCAGCCTCGAAAGTGGCGACAGTTTCACAGATCGCAGCCCCCCAGGGATGGCGAGGTCTAATCTGAATCCCCGTAGGGCGTCACTCCGCTGGGCCCCCCAGCAGGCCTCGAAAGTGGCGACAGTTTCACAGATCGCAGCCCCCCAGGGATGGCGAGGTCTAATTTGAGTCTGCGGTGAGTACCCACTGTGCTGTGCCCCTCAGCAGCCCTCGAAAGTGGCGACAGTGTCACAGATCGCAGCCCCCCAGGGATGGCGAGGTCTAATTTGAGTCTGCGGTGGGTACCCACTGTGCTGGGCCCCTCAGCAGCCCTCGAAAGTGGCGACAGTTTCACAGATCGCAGCCCCCCAGGGATGGCGAGGTCCCATTTGAGTCCGCCGTGGGTACCCACTGTGCTGGGCCCCCCAGCACGCCTCGAAAGTGGCGACAGTTTCACAGATCGCAGCCCCCCAGGGATGGCGAGGTCTAATCTGAATCCCCGTAGGGCGTCACTCCGCTGGGCCCCCCAGCAGCCCTCGAAAGTGACGACAGTCTCGCAGATCGCCGCCCCTAGGTAAAAGGCAAGCGAGAAGAGGACGAGCAAAGAGAGGAGGAGAAGGGAAGCAAGAGAGGAGAGCAGGAATGAAGAGAGGAGGAGAGGGGGCGGGAGGAGGCGGGAAGGAAGGAAGGTGGAGACCGCAGTGCTCTATTCAAAACGAGTGCCCAACGCAGGAGGGTTGGGAATAAACAGCA